TTTTCTTTTTCATATTGGCAACTCAGATAATAGCTTGCACTGTGCAAACTTGTGTAGATTAAATTAATGGGCACCATATGGAACATAAATGTCATTTTAGATCTTCATTGAGTACAGCATGTAAATTGCAGTGACATGTAGCCTTTCATAATGATCAATCAAAAGCTTATAATAGACTATTATTCATGACATAATTATTCAGTGTCTGGCAACAAGCAAGGCCTTGAAATTGTTTATTAGGCTAGGCAGTGGCTGACAAATTGCAAATATAATAACATTATTGCCTGAAGAGCCCCAGTTATTAGCCTTGACTTACTGTGAATCTTCATGTGGGAGAAAGAATACGGTGGACTTTCCATAATGGACAGACACTTTTTACCCCTATGTCTCATAATACTAGAACTTGGAATCATCTACTGAAATTGGCAGGCGATTCAGGACAGATGAAAGAAAATACTTTTTCATGTAACACGGCACATAGTCAATTTATAGAACTTGCTTCCATAAGAGGAGATGGCCGCTGGCTTAGATTTAGATGGCGATTCAACAAATTCACAAAGAAGAGTTTGGTCAGTGCCTGCTAGCCACACTGGCTAAAGGGACCCTTCACATGTGGAGACATGTTACTGTTGAACACAAAATATGGGGCGGGGGGAGAGGGTTGTTGCCTTCATGGCATGTTTTGTAGGTTTTAGCCTCCCAAAGGCATTTGGCTGGCCAATGTTAGCAACAGGATGCTAAGCTACACAGGCTTGATCTGACCTATTTCATTTCAGTTAAAATATTTTTCAACTACCCTTGTATGTTACTTAAGTTATAAAGCAACTGCTGCCAGCTTTTCTAGACCTAAGGCCCACCATTTAGCATTCATTTGCGACATGAGATTCGCTTTTAATTTATCTCCAGTCTTATTACTCGATTCTACTCAAGGTCAGGATAGTTCTACATCTGGTGAAGCAGACTAGTCTGCGAAAGCCTATCCCATAATTAAACTATTAGTCTTTATGGTGCCACAACACTTGTATTTATGCAACACACTAACTCAGCTAACCCTCTAAAACTTGTGTACATCGTACTAGCCTAGATTCTGCTTAATAATGAGTGTTGGCACCAGAACAAGGCAAGTAAAAGCAAGAGAAGTGAACACACAATAAAATATTGTTTTGATTTATTAGATTTGTATATGGCTTCATACTAAAAGTCACAAAGTGATTTACAGTACAGTGCATATAATACAATAAAACATTAAACAGTTCACAATATCAGTATTACTCAAAACGCACCCTAAAGCCAGGATTACAATACTATTATTAAAGCTGCCTGCATGCCTAGGAGGATAAAAAACATTCTTATCTAGGGCTGAAATGGTAGTAGTCAGTGCCAGACATGCTTTACTGGAGAAGAAATATTGTGGAAAATATATTTTGTCTTTCTTAAAAGAGTGTGCCACATGGCATCCTTCTGTTGCCTTGATCCTATAGGATCTCATTCTGTTCTCTGCCAATTTTTGTCTTTCTGGGGTTTTTTTTTTACCAGTTCTCTCTTGATTTTCTCAGGAGATGGCATCCTGCAACTAATGTTAGGTTTTGATCTCTTTGTGGGTTATAATATAACCCACCAAGGCAAGTCCATATAATGGTCTGCAATCCTCCTGTATCTTTGGCAGAAAGAAGGGTGTAGCACCACCCATTCCCTTCTCTAGGTCTTGCTTATATTGTCTAATGCCTATTGCTATGGCTGTTTAGACTAAATCATCTATTTACAGGCAATGCCCCATTTACGTAGGTGTTGTTAATATTTTAATTATGTTCCAAGGCACTGTGTGTTTAAGTGAAATCACATATATTTGAAACACCATTGGAAAAGTCTGCAAGCACCCAATTCTGCCCCTTTTTGTGATGTTTTTGGGTCACTTCTGGGTTCAGCGCAAAGTGCTTGTGTGCAGTTGCACACATATTGAATACGCATAAATGGGGGACTGCCTGTACTTAGAAGGACTATACATCAGGTCCTCTTCACGCACTGCAGATGTGGTAGAATTATTTATGTTTCTAGAGAAAATTTTGGTGTGTGTGTTCATATTAGGCTTCATTACAGTTTGTGGTCAGAATTATTTGTGCATCCATGTGGGGTTGTTTGTGACTATAAGCATCAGAAATAAATCACTAAATTATTCATTTTTAATGTTAATAGACACCATAAGTGTAGTGATGAGCAAGGCCTCTTTGGTTTAGTTGAGAACTGGGCTCAGCAAACTGAACTACTATCCTCAAAAGGAAGATTACTAGATTGGTTAATTTGTGGGCTACCGTATTTTTCGCTCCATAACATGCGTTTTTTTCCTCCTAGAAAGTAAGGGGAAATGTCTGTGCGTGTTACGGAGCGAATGCTTCCCTCCTCTGTGGTTTCCAGCGGGAGAAGAGCCGCTGAATGGGGAGGAGAGAGGGACAGAGTGCCTGCTTCTTTAAAGGAGCAAAGCGAGAGGGGAGAGGGGAGAGGAGCCGCTTACACAAGTGTAAGCGGCTCCTGTCCGGTTGGCTCCTTTAAAGCAAGAAGGTTCTGCTTCTCTCCCTCCTCCCCACTCAGCGGCTCTTCTCCCACTTTGCTGGAAATAGCAGGAAAGATTTTCAGCTTGCTAAGGGGGGGGGGGAGAGAAGCAGAGCCTGCTTGCTTTAAAGGAGCAAAGCGGGAGAGGAGCCGCTTACACGAGTGTAAGCGGCTCCTGTCCAGTTGGCTCCTTTAAAGCAAGCTGGCTCTCTGTATCTCTCTCCTCCCGCTTTGCTGGAAATAGCAGGAAAGATTTTCAGTCTCCTCCCGCTTTGCTTTTCAGCTCGCTAAGGGCGGGGGAGGGGGGAAGGAGGGAGAGAAGCAGAACCTGCTTGCTTTAAAGGAGCCTACCGGACAGGAGCCGCTTACACGAGTGCTCTCTGTCCCTCCAGCTGGAGGCTCTCTGTCCCTCCAGCAAAGTTTTTCAGCTCGCTAAGGAGGGAGAGAAGCAGAACCTGCTTGCTTTAAAGGAGCCTACCGGTAGGCTCCTTTAAAGCAAGCAGGCTCTCTGTCTCTCCAGCAAAGTTTTTCAGCTCGCTAAGGGGGGGGGGGGAGGGAGAGAAGCAGCGCCTGCTCCATGCGTGTTCCTTGTCCCTTGAGTCCTTTTCCTTCCCTCCCCACTTAAAACGTGGTTACAAAGCACAGATCCACATGGATCCTCAGGATTTTTGCACTGGGTCACCCCAAATTCACCATCAGATCACATAGCATGTCCATGGCTACAGTTTGCACCAAAAAAATCACGCACCCACTGTTACCTGGGGCTGCAGTGGTGCAAAAACATGGTTACAAACATGGATCCACATGGATCCTCAGGATTTTTGTATTGGGCTACCCCAAACTCACTGTCAGATCACATGTCTGTGGCCACAGCATGAACCACAAAAATCATACATCCACTGTTTCGTTTAGAATTTTTTTTCTTGTTTTCCTCCTCTAAAAACTACATGCGTGTTATGGTCGGGTGCGTGTTATCGAGCGAAAAATACGGTAAATTGAGCCCCATTGTATTCCAAATGGCATCAGTTGATGTGCAAAGGAGTCTGAATCTCTTTCTCCACTGCTTCACTCTGTGAGCCATTAGCTCAGTTGGTAGAGCATGAGACTCTTAATCTCAGGGCCATGGGCTCGAGCCCCATGCTGGGCAAAAGATTCCTGCTTTGCAGGGAGTTGGACTAGTTGACCCCGGTGGACCCTTCCAACTCTACAATTCTATGATTATGTGAAATCCCTCTGCATCTCCAGGATTCAGAACCTCCAACTCCCCTATGAGCACCCCAAATTCCAGATGCTGCAGTTGTTGATGCTTCAGCAGGATGGAGGTTTCAGATTATATCTTATTCTCTCTAAGCACCTCTCTCCTTTCTTCCCTGGCCCCTGGAGTCACTGATACAACAGCATTCTTGTTACCTGTGATATAGCCCTAGCAGGGTTTTTCAGGTGCAAGAGAGGGGGAATAAAAGACCTTGGGTTAGTGTCTGGGAGCACAGAGTTATTTTCTGGTTTAGATTTCATTCTGTGACTCAGATAGCAGAGGGGAGTGTTGCAGTTCTGATTACTGGTGTGCTTTATCAGCATATCAAATTTATATTAAGAACTGGGGCTGTCCAAATTTTGGCAACCAAGTACAGCAGTGAACACACTTTGCTTTGCTTTCCACATGCTAAGTAGATAAATGCAGAACTGACACCCTTTATCAGATACGGTCACTGAGTAATAGAATGGATGTCTGTGCATGTAATCAACTCAGGTGTGACATAATTACTACATTTATTACCACATAGTTTGGGAAGAAAACCAGTAGCCTTTGTCTATATGGATGCCTCCCTAATTGCTTCCTACTACTCAGCATGGAAAAGCTGTGCCAAGATATTTATAGGTTCTATTATAATCACAACTCTCGTCTCTCAAAAATACCATCTTTCTCTTTTTTATCAATAGAGCATTTTACAAAAGGTCCCAGGCTTACTCTCTGGCATCAGTTGTTTAAAAGTTCTCTGGTAGTAGTTCTGGGAAATTAATGTCTCACTGGAGCTTTGAAGAGCTACTGCTAATCATCATTGGGCTATGTAGACCAATAGTTTTACTTCGAATAAGGCAGCTTCTCATATAAATTACACCATGCTTACATACCAAAATATCAACCTATTACAGTTCATAATTGAGAAATGCTAGTTTCTGATTTCATCTGAGAGACTGCATATTGCAATTGATCCTTGTTCAGATTTGTATTAATGGGTTCAGATTTGGGATTAGTGGGTTGAAATTTCAATCCAGTCTTGGATTGTATGTTTCAGTCCAAACCCACCCAAAAATTAGGGAAGCGGGGGAATAATTTCACAGCAATTTTTTTTACAGTAAAAAAAATTCTTGGGCTAAATGTCATTTTGTTGTGTCAAAATGTCATTTTGTTGTGAATCATGAATTGCATCATTTGTTTGCTCCTTGTTTAGAAATTGATTGTTCCATTTGCCTTGAGGAAGAAGACACAAGCAAAAAGGTGATGAATGAGGTCATTCGTATCCACACGTGGCCCTGCTCCTATTACATCAACTCTGAGAAACGATGGATTTCTGGCAAACTCTGCCTGACACCCATTTCGGTCAGATTTACAGCTGACAAATCTGGAGAGGTCCTGGCTGACTTCCATCTCTCTGGCATCAGTGAGATCAAGAAGGAATCTTCCAACTTCATCTTCAGTTCCCTCACTGTTTTGGAAAAGAGCACCAAGCACTGGTTCAGTTCCCTTCAGCCCAACCGAAATGTTGTTTTCAATATCCTTGAGCACTTTTGGAGGGAACAGCTGCTCTCCTCGGAGGGGGCTGCAGCCGGGGCCGTTTGCCCCCAAACATCCAAGGGGCAAGAGCTGACCGGCTTGCTGGCGGGATCCCAGAAACGGCTAGAAGACACTGCAAAGGTGCTTGAGCACCAGGGGGAACAGTTTGATAACATCATGAAAGGGCTGGACAAGATTGAATCAGAGATGGATGTAGCAGACAGGTATGGTAACACACAACTGACATCGGAATGATTCTTTTACTTGCACACTCAGGTCCTTTGCCTTCCTTTTGTGAGGAAACAAACCAGAAAGTCTTCAATTAGCCATAGTTCTCTGTTTGTCCAAAACAGGAAACAGTGGTTAACAGCTTCAGAAGAAGTCAGAATAGTAAACCGTGGATTGAATGTGACTGAATATCCTGGCTTGTTCCAAAGCTGATAACCACAATTACTTTATTTTAACCAAGTAGGAAACCATGGTTTATTAGAGACTTCCTTATTAAATCATGGCTCTTGTGAATGGGTTTTGTGCGCAGGCAAAGTTTAATTTGTATCTCTGCTTGTTAGGTCAAGATATGGTAGTCTGTACTATCCCTTTGTGTGATCCAGCAGGCCCACAGTTAAACTTTTTAAAAAATGGTTTGGTTGGTTGCAAAGTTTTGGAAAACATAGCTGAATATGTACATAACCAGACGAGAGAGCCAACGTATCAGCTTGGCCCATGATGAAAGAACTATTTTCGGCTCACTTTTTTAGAGCTTATACAAATACTTTGAATTTTTTTGCTTTTGTTTCTCTTTGTGTCCCGTCCCGTCCCCGTCCCTCCCCCCCCTCCCGCATTAGTTGATGGCTGTATCATATTACAAACTATTTTTAAAATACCTCTTGGTTTCAAAAGCAATTTGCCACGTGGTGTAGGTAAGCTATTATTGGAGAAACAAGCCCCATTGTGCCTGTGGAACTATGCATTCTGTTTTTAATTAGAGGAATAAAATCTTAACAGTGAAGAAAGAAGTTACTTGCCCAAGTCCATTTCAGGAGTCGGTGGCTGGGTTGGCAGATGAACCAAAGGACTGGCCAGATTCAAAATGCTTTCACTGGATGATGTTAGCTCCCAGAGGAAGGATAGATATTCGTAACAGGCCAGAGTCTCACCTGGATGATGTCGTGCAAAGGGGCCAATCGGAAAATAGTTTTTGTGTTACCTCAGTGAAGTGGAAGCTGAGTAACCTTTCAGGAGTAATTCCACAATCATACCACAAGGGGCCATTCTGAGTCTGTTGCCAGGAGGACGCAAGGAAAGGGTTTCTGAGTCCGAGAAACTAATACTTGCAGACATATCTATAACAAAAGCAGAATTCTGTTGATGCATTTCTTTGGTAGAAGTTTGAGAACTATTTTGTTAGACACAGAAGATCAACCCACTGAATTGACTTCCTACCTTTTTAAAAAAGTTCTCCCCCTGGTGAGATATTTAATTGGCTTTTGAAATCGGAAACAACTGGCATTTTCCGTCAAGTGAAAGCTGAATATGTTTTACAGTGATTGCACCTTTATTTCCTTGTGTTCTTGAGCAATCTCCAAACTCCAAATTAATTAATTTAATTTCGATTTGAGGTTAACTGTGGTTCTACAGGTTTAATTTGGATTATTCAAGATTAAAGAAATACTCGGTTTCAACCTTCTTGGCTAGCTTCCTTCTTCAGAATTGCTGCCTGACTCACCAGTTTCCAAACAGGAACATTTGCTAGAATATGATGTAACTTGGGCTTTTGACAAATAATTCTTAGCTGTGGTTCACCATGTGTAAAATGAGAATAACAAGAACATTCAAGGGTTGTTGTGAATAGACCCTCCCATCCCCAGTTGGCTGAGTACCTGTGATGTCATGGAGCATTCATAAACATTCCAACTTCTCACAGTAAAGGTATTCCCAAGAGGCATTTGTCATAAAAGTTAGCTTGGGAGAAAACTTGTCCTAAGGCCTAAGGACAGCAGTTGCTGTTTGGCAGGGAGAGAGGTAGGGAAACAGAGATGGAAAACTGGATAGGAAGAAGTCCCAGAACAAGGATTGTTGAGGGAAAGACGAAAGGAAGGGTGAGAGATTAGATGTGGGAAAAGGGAAAACCTCACAAAGAATTCTGGGAAACCATGCAGAACTCAGATACGAATGTTAAAGCAGCTCAGAAAATTAGGTGATGTTACTGCTTGGTGTTGCTCGCCTCTCCAAGTCAGAGGAGGATATCTTCACTTGCTCACAGAGCTGTTTGACTTCACCAGTCATCCTTGAAAGCTTCAAAACCTCCCAAGAAATATTATAATACAATGGTACCTTGCTTCTCAAACTTAATCCATTTTGGGAGTCTGTTGGACTCCCAAAACTGTTCAAAAACCAAGACGCGGCTTCCAATTAGCTGCAGGAGCTTCCTGCACTCAATTGGAAGCCGCAGAAGCTGTGTCAGACATTCGGCTTCTGAAAAACATTCTCAAACCGGAACACTTCTGGGTTTGCGGCATTCAGGAGCTGATTTGTTTGGGAGCCAAGCCGTTCGAGTACCAAGGTACCACTGTAAGATTAAATAAATAAAAACTTAATCCGGCTAATGACTAGAGACTAAAAGCTAACTAAAAACAAATGCAGTCTTCAGAGCTCAAAGGAGATGCAGCCTTCTCATGGCCATATTGCATTCCCCCAGCCCCACTATACAGAACAGGCAGGCAAAAATGTTTGGTGCTCTTTGATTTAGGCAGGGCATTAGAGGGGGAAGATTGCCAACTGAATTTCACATACTGATCTTTGATTTCAGGCCTGTAATATACATGATGATTAACAACCTCATAGGGGAAATGGCGTATTAGACTGGTCTTGAATATTCCAGTAATGTCGGAACAAATGCTTACCAAAATAAATGGTAAGGATAGATTCCAAAACCAAGGCAGTATTTTGTATGACTGGGTTTACAGTGCCAAACCAAGTGAGATTCTCTTGAGTTGTGCAGCTAGGAATGCATACCGTATTTTTCGCCCTATAAGACGCACTTTTCCCCCTCCAAAAATGAAGGGGAAATGTGTGTGCATCCTATGGGGTGAATGCAGGCTTTCGCTGAAGCTTGGAGAGCGAAGGGGGTCAGTGTGCACCGACCCCTCTCGCTCTCCAGGCTTCAGGAAGCAATCCGCTAGCCGTGGGAGACCCAGCTCTCCCAGGGCTAGCGGAGACCTTGCCAGCACCCAGAAGCTTGGGGCGCACTGAGCTCCGCACGCCCCAAGCTTCAGGATTAGCGCAGCGCTCCGCTAGTCGTGGGAGAGCCACGCGAAGTCGCGCGGCTCTCCCACGGCTAACGGAGACCTTGCCAGCACCCAGAAGCTTGGGGCGCGCTGAGCTCCGCACGCCCCAAGCTTCGGGATTAGCGCAGCGCTCTGCTAGTCGTGGGAGAGCCACGCGAAGTCGCGCGGCTCTCCCACTGCTAGCGGAGACCTTGCTGGCACCCAGAAGCTTGGGGCGCACTGAGCTCCACACGCCCCAAGCTTCGGGATTAGTGCAGCGCTCCGCTAGTCGTGGGAGAGCCACGCGAAGTCGCGCGGCTCTCCCACGGCTAGCGGAGACCTTGCCAGCACCCAGAAGCTTGGGGCGCACTGAGCTCCGCACGCCCCAAGCTTCGGGATTAGTGCAGCGCACCTGGGGGGGAAATAAATTTCCCCCCCTTTATTTCCCCCCAAAAAACTAAGTGCGTCCTATGGGCCGGTGCGTCCTATGGGGCGAAAAATACGGTAGTTACAGATGCAGCCTCTTAATGTTTGCAGCCCTAAGCACAACCTGCTTCCAGTTTGATTTTCAATGCCAGAGCTTTTTCCAAGCGACTGTTTGCAGTCTCAGTCAGTGGTAGATGTAGACTTAGTAGCCTGCAAACCCAGGTGTATACACAAGTATTGCTCTCTCTTCACTACGTGCTTGAATTTCCTGTGCCTGCTCTTTGTGAAGGAAGTGTGTTTTACGGACAGGTGTTTTAAGAACCAACGCTGGACTTCATAGAGATTTGGCTCCTGGTTCATCAGTGAAGCTTGTTGGATTGGGGAGGGGGTGTGGCTTGAACAAGTTGCTCTCTCAGCTTACTTTATCTTACAGATCCTCCACCAAAAGATGTGATGATGGATGGCAGCTTAAATGTCTTTAAAAATGGAATGGAAATGCTAATGGAAGGAGGGGTTCTCAGCAACTATTAGCTCTATGATAGAAGTGCTGTGGACAAAAAAGCGGGTAGCCATCACCTTCATGCCCTTCTAGGAGAATCTTGCAGGTTGTCGTTGGACCTAGAGTAGCTGGACCTTAGTCAGATCCAGCTAGGCAGTTTCTGTTTCTTTTGCTGAAACTACACTTTTTCCAGGAAAAGTGAGTACTGTGTGAGATGCCAATATAGTTTTCTGGTTCTGATCATGCTGTATGATTCTTCCTGTTAGGTTATTGTCAGAACTGGAATCTCCCGCTTGGTGGCCATTTGGTAGCAAACTGTTGAAGGGGCCATTAAACGTAAAGCCAAAGGAAATCCCTGCCGTTTCTGATTCTGGAAACAAGGATGGAGTAATATTGCGAATCCCAGTTATTATCACTGAAAGGACAGATTCCAACGTCAAGCCAGGCAAACTCGCCCTCCTGGCTTCTGGCCTGGAGATCAGCAATTCCAACTCTCAGCTCCTTCACTGGTTTGACAAGAAGGATGTAGACGATGTCAAAGTTCATACACCATATGAAATAAGCGTCCGCCAGAGGTTCATTGGGAAACCAGACATCAGCTATCGGCTGCTGTCAGCAAAGATGCCGGAAGCCATCCCCATCTTAGAGATGCAGTTCAGCAAGAAAATACAGTTCATGGAAGATGCTTTGGCATTTGCTGGGGCAAGGAAGACTCATCAGGAAGATGTTGGCGCTTCCATTTGGCAAGCAGGTAAAGGGCAGAAGGAAGATGATCACTAATCCTGCATATTAATCAACAGAACTAACCATCTGTTAAATAAATTTAGTGCATTTATTGAGAACACGTATTAGCAATAATAATACATGGCATTTTTAGAGGATTTTAAGAGTATTCGGAGCACGTCAAATACATCATCTCAGTAATTCTTATAACAATGCATTAAGGCAGGTTTGCATTAATATCAGCAATTGCTGATGAGTTCGTGGCTGCAGTAGAATTTGGACTAGGAATATGCTGGTTGTTAGTTCTCAATTTTTTTCTCCTCCTTAGCCCATGCAAATAATATGCTTCTGGTAGTTCTGCAGTACAGTTTTAGATGCAAGAGAGGACCACTGGGACATTACTGAAATAATCTTGGAGGAATCTCACTGAATGAATGTCCTCCTTTCATAGTTTGCTTAAACTGGAGATTGCAAAGCCTTACAGATAGCCTTACATATAGACCCATTTTAACTGCTACCTCCAAACATGGGTGATGTAAGTCCATTCCACAGCACACACAAGACCGGATGGAATCTACATCTCCAGCCTTCTATTACCATAATGCAACACATCTTTCTGTGAAATTCCTGTGTGTTCTTTTTGTCATTTCCATCATGTCCTGTCTTAATAATTCTATGGAAATCCTAAATTTTAGAACTGTGAGTAGGCTGTTTTGAACAATTAAGCACAGCATTTGGGTTATATCACAGAAGATCCTGTGCATCTTAGTCTTTGGTTGTGTGTTTCTTCCTTAAGCAATTGGGATGAATCTGGTTTTGCAAACACTTTGTTTTAAGAGAATTTTCCAGCACTCAAAAACATACAATGCAATCACAAGCCAATCTGTTAAGAAGCTGTGCTCTGTTGTGCCCCATGCTAAAATTAGATTTCAGCAGGGATTAAAACATTCTCTTGTTGACCAGTCGCTGAGGTCCAGTGCTTGGAAAAGCTTATTAATTTTAAAGGAAATAACTCCCAGGCACCTGGCGGTAAAATGTCAGCGTTAACAACTCAGAGGAAAAACAACCTGCTGGTTTTTTAAGCACTGAGCTACATCCTGGCAAATTGGTGTTTAGTTCCTGATGTGACAACTGCTGTTACATAAAGAACTTCTTTTGTGGTCCGGATCTTAACTCCTCTTTCCTACTTCTATATTTCAGTAAGTTTTATGTTTTATTTTTTACACACCAACCCAAAAGTGTTTTTACTGTTAAGTAGGAAACATCAATAACAGAAAGGAAGAGGTGGTGGAAATTTTGACTTTTTGCAATTCCCCCAAAAGCTGCTTCAGTCATGTTGCTTGTTCTTTCATTCTCTGTATTATTTTGCCATTGACGTTGCACTGCCACTAGATGGTAGTCTACCACCACATCTTACCCGCCAGTGTTTTCTCTTCCCCATTTCTTTTTACATAAACAAAAAATTAATTTTCCTAAAGTGGTAGAGCAGGGAGGAAGCAAGTAGATCTGTCTGTTTTATTCACAGATCAAGGCAATTCAGAGACTTCTTGTAGAGTCCCTGTATGAAGTGACGCATGGACATACTATTGCTGCCTTGTAACTAGCTATTGTCTGTTGAATGGTGGGCTGAGATCAAACTGTGAATAGCGTGAATTGTGTGCACTTGCCTCTTAGTTGAACATAATCTCTGAAAGAGCACTTCGTTTTACCAAAGTGACTTGTTCAGCTGTCAGAATCAAGAGGCCCACAATTTTAGGTGCAAATTGCTATCATTCAATCTTCTCTGGCATTTTAAACCAGTAATCCTAAACCTCTGGAAGCTGAGGTCCTTCTTTTTGCCCTAACCTGCAACACAGGTTGTCGTTATTACTATTATTAATAGTTAGAGCCATGTATGTCTATCCTTCGACTGTCTAATATAAAAAAGTCATTGATGGTTCTGCTTCAAGTCCAGTCTTCCTCGGGCCAATGGCACAACCTGTATGTTGCAACCTGCTTTAAACTGCAGTGAGCAAAATCATCAAGGAAATATCGCAAAAGTATTTTCGGCTTTTTAAAAAGCCTTGTGTCTGGGAATATCCCAGGGCATTTGAGCCATAGGTTTCTTGTTGGAAGTGGCAGACACTTTCATGGAACAGTTCCCAGAAAGGAGAATTGCACCTGAGCTGAAATGCATTGGCATTGTCAAAACTTGATTTGATGAGGATGCTTGGGTGCTACGGTTCATTGTCTTGCTTCCTCCCTTCCAGAATCCAGGTGTCTGCTTGCTTTTGCAGCCTGGGGGGGGGGCGGGACGCTGGGGTCTGGGCTTATACCAAAGTCAGCTTATTGATCCAGCTAGCTCAGACGCCAGTCTTTCCCAGCTCTTCCTGAAGATTCTGTAGGTTGAAGCGGGGACCTTTTTATGCAAACATGTGCTCTGTGGCCCTCCTCCCTGTTGCCACAGTGTAAGCACAAATTAGATTTTGCCAGAAATACCAATAGGACAATATGCGTACACAAACACCAAACTAGAGAGAATGACTTGCCAAATGCCACCCAGTGAGCTTCATGATCAAGGATGAGTTGACCTTGACTCTTTGAGACTCTAACCCCTCCTTCCCACTGCACCACACTGGCTTCCTGGGACATCAGGTCAGCCTTTATTGCAAGGTAGAATTCCCTAGAACTGAATAATTATTGAGAGACACTAACCTAGAGACTCGAGGAAGGTGTGCCCCATATTGCTCGGGGTAGTTAATTTTGCTGCGCACGCTTTGTATTGTGAGGACACTTTTCATACTTTTCGTATGAAGGCACCGTGTATTGAACCAGGCTGCCGGTTCATTCAGCTGATGGTTGTCTGCTCCTGCTACCTGCAGCGCCTCCCATAGTCCTGCCCAGAAGTTATTTCCAGCCCTGCTCCCTGAGATTTCTGGAGATGTTGGGGAATGAACCTGAGCCTCCCCTTGTTGCTCTCATGTTTGTGAAAATAAATCAAAACTATTGATGATAGGTGCAGAGCGTGAGGAAATGAGGCAAGTGGAAGGAATTAAAAACCATTGTATTGCTATAATTCTGATAGAATTTAGCCTCAAATAAAAGTTTTGAGGCTCTTTGGGATTCTTAACATTTGAGGCTACCAATCATTTGTGAGATGCAGCATCTTCCTTAGCTTGGTGCTTCTGTACACACTAGGAAAGGTACCATATTTTTCGCCCTATAGGACGCACCGGCCCATAGGACGCACCTAGATTTTTTTTTGGGTGGGGAATAAAGGGAAAAAAATATTCCCCCCCAGGTGCGTCCCAGAACGGGACCCTGAGCGGGCAGCTTCGGCATCGCTCTGGGAGCTTGCGGCTGGGGGAGGGGGAAGCCCTCTGCCAGCCTCCAAACCACGTCGGGAGATAGCGGGATGGCGCGCTGCGCCTCCCCGCTGTCCCCCGAGCTTGTGGGGCTGGCGATGGGGCTCTCCTGAAGCCTGGAGAGCGAGAGGGGTCGGTGCGCACTGACCCCTCTCGCTCTCCAGGCTTCAGCGAAAGCCTGCATTCGCCCCATAGGACACACACACATTTTCCCTTCATTTTTGGAGGGGAAAAAGTGCGTCCTATAGGGCGAAAAATACGGTATGTACATATTGTCTACTTTATGTACACATGGCAGGGAGCCACAGCACTTCCACTTCCCTGGAAAATGTACATTGTCAGAAACAAGTTTGCAGCATGTGCACATTGCAAGTTCACGTGTACATCTCAAATGTTTGTGTATCCCTTTAAAAAAAAAAGGTGTGAAATGCCTACCAACGGTATTAGCAAGTTTGCATATATTGTGTTCTTACTCCTCAACCTTGTAGGAGCCACACTGAACAAAATTTGAGTATATGTCTTCTTCCAACTTGGGTTGACTGTCTGCCTTAGAAAAAACTTGCCACCTCTTATTAGGAAGGTATAACAAATTTGATGGAATGAATGAATTTTATGTGGAGAGCAGTGACTTTGATGGATCTGTGTTGAGTCTCAGCTCAGCAAAGAATGTGAGATCACCATCTACCCTAACTAAACCAGAACTCCAGCAGAATTCACAGTTGTCCGAGTATGGTGCTGCCCTGCACTTGCCATATTTCCCCGCACTTGAGTCTATGTGCCTGCTTCCCATCCTGAACTTATTCTTATAAAGCAGTGTATACCAAGCAGCTAAAGTTTTGGGAGAGGCACCTGAAAGGGGAAGTTGCAGAACATCCCTAGCACACACAGAAACAAATTTCAGCCAGTGTGTTACTGTGGAAATTACAGTGTTACACCTGTACCAGGAGTTTGATTCACTGGGCACAAGCTGATGATTTCAGACAAAGTTTAAATTTATACCGGTATGAATGGTTCTCTTGTAGCAGATCTGCCTGGGTCCCAGCTCGGGAGCTAATGCTGCGATAACCAAATAATTCCAGGGGATTAAGAGTTTGCAGTAATTACTCCTGTGGGGATTTAGAAGCTTTTATTTTTAGCTGTAGCTTTTGTGTCTGCCTTTTACATTAAGTAACACAATCCAGAGCAGTGGAGCAGGCTCTGTCACAGGGCCAGACGTTTTGGCATGGGTCCTTCGAAACCAAGAGCGAGCTTCAGCTTCCGACGCACTTTCTGGCCCGTTGCCCCACAGCTGTCGGGGTGGTGGAGGATGCTATATGGCAGTGGCAGCTTCCTCTAAAATGTGTTGTCCTCCTCCCTTCCAGCAAGGACCACAGGTTGGGGGGGGGGGTACTCAGAGCATTTCAAGAACGAGATACTCCTGGTGCTAAGCACCTGCAACTATCTGTGTTGCAAATAATGCCCTTTAATTGCCACATTTAGCTGGTATCAGATGCCATGATAGGAGCCAGCGCTTTAAATAAACCACAGGTGGCTTGCTGTTTCAGGAGTCGCCACCTGCGTGCTACCATGTGGATTCACTCCGGGAGCCCCAATATCATCCGGCTTACATTTTTGTTCTGAGGTTGCCTAGCTGACTGCCTTTGCAAGTGGTTTTCAGAGGATCTGCACCCTGTTGGTTAATCAGCACTGAGGGAGAGGAGTAAACAGGCATCAGCACTGACGTTAAGAGAAAAGTTAATGCAGCTTTCCAAATAATAAAGCGAGGGAAGTTCAGAGTTGCAATAGGCTACAGACAACTTGGGCCTCCTTTACCAAACGCCAAGAGGAAGATGAGTCTTGGGCATGAGAGGGGAGGGGGCTGTTTTGTGGGATTTGTGCCAGGATGGAAGTTGCGTGCCCCCCCTTTCCTGTTTCCCTTTCTCCAGAAATAGGAGCACCTATCTCCTCTACAGGATCTTGTACTCTGGGCTTGTTCATGTACTCCAAGTCCTATCCACCTATAGCAAAGGCAGATAGCATGTGGACATTAGCTTGGAAATTATAAGTGAGCACTGTGGTGTCGTCCACATGCATTACTTATGCATGTTGCCCATTAAACCTTCATCTAGTTATTCAGATCCATCCCTGCTAGTTGTTCAACCCTGGCCTCTTCCCACCAGCCCAGTCACAACCCACTTCTTAGAATGCAAGCCACCCAGTGAGCTTGCCTAATATGCCCAATGAGTGGTAAATCAGAAGGTGACCTCTGCCTTTGCAGGAAGCCTTGTGGATTTTCCTTTAGTGCATGCTGCCCTACAGGAAAGCCCATGAATAAGTTTTTCCTAAGCAAGCAATTGCAGGCCGTTACCACATCAGGATATGAAAACTATATTTCTGCAGCAGATGGAAGGTCTTTCATCCAGTATTCCCTTTTCAACAGTGGTGGACTCTGAAGCCTTATGGGAAGCTCTTGCATGGAGGGAGTAACCCCCATGCTTAGCAAGTCTTGATTCCTCCCCACCCTCGCTGCACCAAGTTCCATCTGCTACATGAAGTCTTGTTCGCAGTTAATAGCATGTTTTATCCTGCAGGTGTCACTGTGTTGCTATCTTCCCCCATCACCACCTCTTTAAGCAAGAATACGCTGGTTGAAAGGCGCACAGCCCTTTGCAGAACTGCCTGTAGAACTGCCTGTTCTTTAGCACACAAATGTGTTAATGTAATCCCCGTGTCAAGATCTCCCACTCCGAGGAACAGCTGACTTTGACATCATGGTTCTGAGAATTTTGCTGCCACAACGGCATCAGCTGGTGACATGGAGCCTGGGCAAGGAGGTGTCCATCAACCCCCCCCCCCCGGTGAAAAGTCCTTCACATTATGGAGGGGGTGTGGGGTATGGGCATAGCTGTCAACTTTCCCCTTTTCTTGCGAGGAATCCTATTCGGAATAAGGGAATTTCCCTTTTAAAAAAGGAAATGTTGACAGCTATGGGTATGGGCTCAATATAGGGTTGCCGCTTTAGGTAGCCTACATTTATATCAATGTACAGTTGTGTCCATGGCATGTGAAATGGTTACCCTAATGAATAGAAAGCTTTGGATTTTTCCAAATAAAATATATCAAGCACTGTTGTTTTTCTGGATTCCAACCTGCCGTCTTCTTCTTGCAGCAACAGGACTGATAGGAAACATAGTGCAATCTGGACCGGCACCCTCCTCCTCGCGAGGAGCAGAAGGAAGCCAGCAGGCTCAGATACAGAAGCAAGAACAGGTGGTTTCAGAGTCTGAAACTCAGGAACTCAAACAGGTACGTCAGCATCAGTTCAGTCTGATAGCAAGGTGGGCAGCCCAGCTTCTTGGTCTACAGCATACTTATTATGCTCCCATTTTTCAACTAGGGACTCCCTCCTTTCTTACTGTGTGGTTTGTGGAGCATGGAGTAAATGTCTAGAAGGGAGATGGTTAATTTGTTTGTATTGCCCAGCCAGGGTCTGGCTAGTTCTAACATAGGAGCAGGAGGGAAGGAAAGTGTAAATACTTGCTTATTTCAAATCAGAATTACTCAGCATAAAAATGCATACCAAAATGGAATGCAAGCTCTATTAAAAAAACTCATAGTTCATTCAAACTAATGTGGCCTCCAGCTCGCAGCTACCACATACACTGCCTCTGCCTCTTATCTGCCTGACATTCCTGCTTCTTGACCTCCTGGCTCATAATTGCCCAGCCTCCTGTACTCTGGTTACACATTCCCTCCCTTCCTGCCAACAAAACAGAGCCTCCCTCTCCTTCCCCTCACAGCCTCAAGGAAGAATTCTGGCACAAAGCAAGCAGAATCCCCTGTGAGGTAGGACGTTCAGCTTGAGGAATTTTGTTGCTTCTTCACATGCTGGTCCTATATTCCAGCCATATTCAGCTAGAGCAGAAATGGTGGTAGTACTTTGAGTCAGTGCCACATACTTGGTTGACCGATCTACCCTAATCTTACAATAATTAAGTGCAATTTTGGCTCAGGCTCATGAGATACAGGAGAAGGATTGGGGTTTGTTGAAAGAATGCAAGTTTCCAGAGAAATGTGGCTATCTAGGGCTTGACTAAGACTTTCCCGGGCTCATGAGAAGAGCCTACTGGATCAGGCCAATGGCCCATCTATTCCAGCATCCTGTTTTTACAATGGCCAACTAGATGCCAATGGGGAAATGATGTCAGAGAAAAGTTAGCCTTCCACTCCATTTCTAAACCCCTTTTATGCAAGCTGAGTTGCACCCAAACTTCCAACAGTGGGCTCTAGTTGCCTTAGCAGAGAAGTCCTATAATCTTTATAGAGAATGTTACCTTGGTCTGTCATTGGAGGAAGGGCCGATGAACAGGTGTTAGTAGCTGAGAGGGCACATCTCAATTTTCATCCAGTTAGAGGTGGATCACTGCAAATTAGCAACTCAAAACCCATTAGGTGTCTTCCTGCTGAGAGTTTTTCCTTTACCAGAGGCAATGAAATTCCAAGAAATGAGGGAATGGGATGCACAGGACATATGATGAGTGTTGATAGGTACGGTCCTCTCCTGCTAGAATGTAGAAACTCATTCTGGTGCCCATGTGTGCAGGTGTTGATAGAGCAATTGACATGTTGACAACCCAGACCATACCATGGTTTACTCCATGACTGTATAGATGGATACTGAGAGAGTGGGAATGAAGTGCAAAAAGTGTTGTGGTAAGAAATAGGTGTATGGAGTTCAGTGCCACGGAGAAGGAAGCTCCTCAGCAGTGTTTTCCCTGAAAGGCTTTTTAATTGGATCATGCTGTTTGGGGCTAAATGGGGACACTTGTTGAATGTCTATAATTAGCTGGTTTGCATAACAGAGTTTCCTTGGTTAATGACGGATTATCAGATTTTGGGGAGCTGATTACCCAATACATGCTATCATGTTGTACAGTAAAATGAGGTTTTCAGTTTTGATTTGTAATCCCTCTGTCCAAATTAGAGTTTGATTTTTTAAAAAGGGCATTGAAACTTTTAGGAAACCGGTTGAGCCCAGGCTTCAATGACCAGACATCTTGTCATCCTTTTACTCCACCAAAATAGCCATCTCTTTCTCTCTCCCCCAACTTGGCCCAACCTCAGAGTCAAACCTCATTCTCACACTAAGCAGCCCTAGCTGCAAAGCTGCTGAAAGAGGAGGATTTAATCCAGCTGTTGTCAGATTCTCTGCTGGAAAAAAAAAATGGATTTTTATTTTACCCCCTTTTTATTTTACTGATGCTGTCTATGCCTCAGTTGGTCATTACATTGCAGATGGAAAAGGTATTAAGGCAGAACAAATAAAATTGATGTTTTAGTTACTGAGGTGGAAATCATATGCACGCTTGACTGGAAGCAAACCTCACTGTACGCAGTTGTAGTTACTTTGGTGTAAGCATATGTAGGAAATTCACTTACTAATAATTTTTAATACCGTCTGTTCAGGTTGAAATGTGTGTTAACGATGCCTGGGTACAAGCAACAATAAAACCGTGTGTGTGTTTATGTGAGAGTCCCTGCATACCTGCACACATGTTCAAAAACGAGCCATTTTTTTCTGGAAAGCAATGTTGTGAAGATACCCCATCAGTGCCTATCACAAATAATTGAAATTGAGCAGCATATCTTGTATGTGTCATAGATTGAAATGATAACCCATGTCTTGTTAGTCTTCTGATATTGATCCTTCATTGACAGAATTTCCCTATTTATGCTGCCTCATCCAGCACAAAAAATTAATCAACAGATTGGTTTCACATGCATACATCCACTCCCTCCATGGTGGAAGACAGCCCTCTTATCAATTAATCAGAGGAATACATTATTTGGGATTTTAGATAAGTTCTAGGTCTCTTCCAACAGTGTATTTTTTCTATTCTCACCCCGCAGTAAAGAATCTGAAAGATTTTGCAGGGTATTTGTGGGGACTGTGCTAATTGCTGGCAAAGCTTTTAACCAAGTGTTGCTGATAAATTAAATCTTGGTGTCTTTTCTGAACAGATTCTCCGGAAACTCAAGAGCCTGGCCTTGGAAACGGAGACAGAACTGGAAAGGCAGGACGAAGCCCTTGATGGCATCACTTCTTCTGTGGATCGCGCCACCATGAATATTGACAAACAAAACCGCAGAATGAAGAAACTGACGTAGCGCCCCCGAGAAGCTGGTTGCAGAAATGGCTGCTTGGAGCTCAAGCCATAAGATCTCCAATGTTTGTGTTAGCTGACTGAATTCCCGAGAGGGCTTAGGACTGGAAGAAACAAATGCTGAGCAATGGAGGTGATTTTGATAAGCCCCTTCTAAATTGCAGTGAAGTTCTGCTAAAGTATGAGGAGCTTAATCTCTACTGCTGGAATCGGGCAGTATCCTGATTGGTGGCAGATTTGAGAATACTTCCTTGCATGCTCATTGACTTTTTGAAAGAAAACTGCACTGTGCTTCAAGGGAATGAATAGAATAGAGCAGTGTGTTGGGGAGACTCCTGAAGTCCACTCATGGTAATGTAGGCAAAGCATGATTTGCAAATGATGCATTTTATGACTAACAATAATTGAAAATTTAGAATAGCACTTTTAGTTGCTGTGTTTATTCAGCCATAAGGGAACTGACTTGCCTTGGCAGCATGTGATCAGTGAATCACTATACCTGCTGGATTGGGGCCAATATTTATTTATTAATTAATTTATTTATCTCACATTTTTATCCTGCCTTTCCTTCAAGGAACTCAAGGCAAGCATATATGCGCTCTTTCTTCCTGTTTCATCCTCACAACAGCCCTACGAGGTTAGGCCAAGAGGCAATGACTGGCCCCAGGTCACCCAGTGAACTTCCTGGCTGACTGCGGATTCGAACCCTGGTCACCTGGGTCATACTCCAGCACTCTTAACCACTACACTGCACTGGCGTATCCATATTTTCCAGTTTTCTGTTTCCACCAGCAGTGAGTGACCCAGATGCAGCTGCTCTTCCTTTTCTGTTACCAACAACTTTGCATTTTTGAGATATACTACTGCTTCTGAACGTGGAGGTGCCATTGGACTATTGTGGCTAATAACCGGACTCAAAATGCATCAGTTTGCCTAATCTCTTTTTCAGGCCATCTAAACTAGTGGCAATCACCTATTGACTTAATTGGAATCACTGTCAGTTCGTGCCAGTGATCTGGAAGTGAAATCCTCTTCTATTTCTACTGTCTTTTCTAAACAGATACTTAAGAGGAAAAGCGTGAGGCGCCCCTCTTTGAAAAGCCAGTTTTAGATGCCTGTGATACACTGTACATATTTAATATCATTGAAAAAAGAAACAGCCGCAATGTTTGAACTTCATTGTTCCTATGGCTATACAGTCTATTTAGCTGAATATGATTGAATTATTACCAAGAATTACTTCATAAAACAAGTTTTAGATGTGATGTAATAGTTCATAGGAAGAATCCAGTCCTCCTTACCTTTGGTTTCTCTGGTGTTGAACACAGTAGTTCAGTGCCATTCTAAATTTACCTCGGCATAACCATGTGTCTTATGTCAAAGCTAGTTCTAAAAGTTGAATTTGCCGATTTATCGTTATTCGCTCTGGACTTACTGAACTCTGTGAGAAACTTGGGATCCAGAAGTAACATTTGTGAATTAAGTGTCAGATTAAGTGTTTTCTCCGGCACCTGAATTTGAATTCGGGGGCAGTTTTTGCAAAATTGAAAAAAAAAAAAGCAGTTTTTGCATTTCAGCCAGAAGACCCATTAGGTTCTCTAAACGTCTACAGACAAAAATGTGTTTTAGCTGTACTTTAATATTACTCACATGTATATTGCCTGCTAATTGCACTTTTAGAGCAAATTAGTTTGAAGAAAAAGTAATGCTGTGCCAAATTTAGGTGAGGTTCCTTTTCCAGTGCATGGGGTGGGGGTGGGGAGTGAGTGGAATCTTTGAAAAATCCTATCCACTATTCCCAATATTTTGAACTTCTCTTTTTTTGCAGGTGTTGTTAGCGTGCTTCAACACACACACACTTTAAAAAACCAAGCAACCACACCAGAATTATAGAATTTTAGAGCTGGAATGGGCTACAGGGTCATCTAGGCAGCCCACCGCTTGCAGGAATATTATGCCTAACAAGGGCCTCAAACTCACGACTCTGAAACAGGTGATTCCTGCATTGGAAGGGATTGAGCTAGATGACCCTCAGGGTCCCTTCCAACTCTACATTTCTATGATATTGTGGATCATGAGTGACTACACAGCCAATCAGGGATCACATATTGGACACATGACTAGTTTGCTGGGCTGATGCTCCCTGTCTTGCTCTTGTTTGTTTAGTCGTTTAGTTGTGTCTGACTCTTCGTGACCCCATGGACCAGAGCACGCCAGGCACTCCTGTCTTCCACTGCCTCCCGGAGTTTGGTCAAACTCATGTTCGTAGCTTCGAGAACACTGTCCAACCATCTTGTCCTCTGTCGTCCCCTTCTCCTTGTGCCCTCAATCTTTCCCAACATCTGGGTCTTTTCCAGGGAGTCTTCTCTTCTCATGAGGTGGCCAAAGTCTTGGAGCCTCAGCTTCACAATCTGTTCTTCCAGTGAGCACTCGGGGCTGATTTCCTTCAGAATGGATAGGTTTGATCTTTTTGCAGTCCATGGGACTCTCAAGAGTCTCCTCCAACACCATAATTCAAAAGCATCCATTCTTCGGCCATCAGCCTTCTTTATGGGTCTTGCTCTAGTTTTTATTATTTATTACGCTCTACACCCTAAGGTCCCAGGGCAGGTTGCAGCATTAAAACACAACATTTAAAGCAACTTGCAATCATAAAAATAAGGTGGGTCCTAAAACAGTACACCTCGAGTGTGAAAAGCCAAGGTAAAGCAGTGCATCTTCAGCATTCATTAGAAGCTGTACAATGAAGGTTCCAGCCGCTGTTATGTGGGCAGGGAGTTCCACAGCTTAGGGGCCACCGCAGAGAAGGCCCTCTTCCAGGCCACCGCTCCCTACAAGCCTTTTAAGGGTGGAGGCACTGCCAAGAGGGCCCCTCTGCCGATCTCAACACCTGAGAGGTTCTGTAGGGAAGGAGAAAGTCTTCCAGGTATTTGGGGCTTTCATTCTGCAAGATTTGCAACTTAAGATGCACCCAGCTTAAGATGCACATCTGGTTATGAGGTTGTCCATTTGTACTATATTACTTTCAGCAATGCTTCCTTCCAGATGTGGAACCCCTATCGCATTTTGCCTGGCTTGTCTGCTGTTTACTTGACTAGATTGGGATGAAGGAGAACTGGCAACAAGGACATGTTCCCTCTTCCTCACTTTTTTTTGCAAAGGCATGTCAAAAAAAAAAAAAAAAAGGAAGCCCCAAAGAAGTGTGAGTTTTGGGGAACAAAAGTGCTCATGGGACATCTCCAAGCCCCATTTTGGCTCAGCGGTAAAAGGCGCTTTGGCAAATTAATGACTAGCTTAGCGTAGCATGAGATTTCACTGGCCCAGAGCCCAGCTCATTGGTTTTAGAGCATGCCATTTTGCAGACTTGGATGCTATTTTATCTGGTGATTATTTTGCAATCATGATCTTTGTGGGACTGTGCCTTTATTCAGTAAAGGGAGGTGGATTTTTTTTTCCAATTCTTGGTGCTGTATTTCAGGCACTTACCGTGAGATGCTTTGTTTCTTCATTACACTAATTAAGCAGCAGAGCCATTAAACATGTTTGGAATGGTCAGTTGGATGCAACAGCCTTGCATCCTTTAGTGGTGGATGACTTTGAGATCTTAAGACCTCCATGATGAACCCAAATCATTGTGCCAACTTGCAAATTTTTGAACTGTTTACTGCCCATTCTGATTTCCCACTACCTTTATGATTGGTTTGTACCTTTTGTATGCCACACCTGAGGCTGTTGACCTGCATCCCAAACACTTTTCTATCCATAGTAAGATGCAGGTTAGTTTATATACGGTCCAGGTGTTTTGCCAGCTTTGTATTACTGTGAGAAGAAGCTTATGTTTACAATGTTTATGTATTTAAATATTGTTTCTAGCCATCATTTGATATGACGACGAGCCATATTTTCACATGATTGAACATTATTGTGGGGAAACCACATTTCCCATGATGCTTTACTTGTGAGGGCGGACAGATCGCTTCTCTATTGCTTACTGTAAAACGGACAATGGCTGCTCCCCACATTCTGCATGGATTTTAAGGGTTCAGAATTTAAAGCAGAATATTTGGGGAAAGTATCCTGAATTTCAGGGAATTAGGTGAAAATTATCAACTGATGCCTGCTTAAAGGGAAACTTAAGTTCATTTTTATCCTATGAAAAAACAACAACCCAAAACTTGTCTTTCGCAGTTGAAATGCATTCGGGTGGTTGTGATTAAGCAACTGTGCCCAATGATTTTGTGGCATTCAGTTGAAATTGAGGCAGCTTGGTAAGGGTGCAGAATACAAACCCATAGAAAGGAATAGAAGCAGCAAAAGAGCTTAGGCTTGACCTGTCCGTGACGTAAATTGCATAAAATCAGGTTGTTCTAACACACTCAAATATAGAAAGAATACCTGTACATAGCACATGCACTTTTATTAAGTTACGTTTATCTTCTGTTGTTTTTTCTGACATGGCCTTGTTTTTTTTTATTTTCCATGAGTTGTGTTTATTTTTGCTAATTTCAATGACTGGGTTTGAATTCCTTGACTTTGCGAGGTGGGGAGTGTCATCAAACAACCTTGATCAGCGTATGTTCAAAAGGATTTTCCAAGTTCAAATTGGGGTGTTCATTTGGCAGTTTGTAGCACATTTCTTCCTGCCATTAAAATGGTGGCATATCTTCAAACACCAGACTGTTTTTTCTTATGGAAAGACATGCTGGTGTTGGATAACTTTTGGTAACGCTAGCCTGCAACCCTTTTAAAGAATGGATGCTTTGAGTGTCCTGCTCAGTTTTGTGCAGGATCAGTTTTATAAACTGCTAAATGGTTTGGGAGCTCAATTTCTTGCAGGGCTTTCCCTGTCTTGTTTCCTTCGTCTAATTCAGTGCTTCCCGTAGTGGGCAGTACCTCCCCCTGGGGGACAGTGGGATTACCTAGAAGAGATAGAAATGATTATCAGACTTTGAAAAGCTGGTATCACTGGATCCAGTCCCTCAATGTTGTTGAATTAATTAAACTAAATAGTTTTCATTGGATTTTGAATAAAGGTGAAATTAATTGTTCCTGTTTTGTATTTCATTGTGTCGATACCTTCATTAGTGGGTCATGCAAACCACTATTCTGAGTAATGCTTTTTATAGGGTGGGGTAGGGGAAACTGCAGATAAATTTATGGACCTCTCTGTCTGTCATGGATGCTTTAGCTCAGATTCCTGCATTGCATGGGGTTGGACTATGTGATCCTTGGGGTCCATTCCAACTCTACAGTTCTATGATTCCATGATTCTGTGCTTGCCCAGGCAAGCAAAAGACATCAAAGTTACAAGACCAATTCCAGCCAGACACACACTAATGAAGGGCATGAAAGATACAGGTGAGGGGAATTACTAAGGAGGAGATGTGGCCTGCAGAGAGTCCTGAGAGTCAGATGGAGAGGACTGGAAGGCCGTGTTTTGCCCCTCAACCTGATATTCCCTATCACTGTCTTAGATTGCAAACCCCTTGGCCTCTGAGAAGTGTCGTGCACGTTAACGGTGCTATAAAATAATGTGCCCTGAGTGCACCTCTGACTCCTTCAGTTCACACTTGCTGAGTTGCCCGTGTCTAATCCCTTTCCTCTTCTTTGCACCCCATCACGCGATGCACCAGGGAGCTCATTGCACAAGTTTCTACTTGGTTCTACCCAGTGTAACGCTAAATAAACATACTGTTGGTGCAAGAATTTCTGCTTGTGCAATGGGACTTCCCTCCTGCTAGATCTGTTCTAGAAGAGTGCGCAGACCATTTTTAGGGGGTGCATGGGGCAGGAGGCGGGGAGTCCTGCAGCCCAGACGGAAATCCTTGTTCTAATAGGATGGTTACTTTGCATGAAATTGGATGCAAGCTTCTGTGTCTGCAAAAATGGACTTTAAATATGTGAGGATTTCTGGTGAGATTTCAGAAATGCGGTGGAACATGAATTCCTGTGATTCTTCAGTCCCCTGTGTAGTTTGTTGTCCCTCCCTTCCAATTAGTAGAAACCTCAATCAACAATGCAGAAGTTACACAAATTTGCTGGCCTGCGACACATGGCAGGATCCCATTTTCCTGTTTTCAAACTTTTAGAACACACACAGCCCTGGTGGTGTGTGATCCTGTTTGAGGTGTGGGGCAGGGAACTTCCAAGGCCAACTTCCAGCAGGCCAGCTTTGGCAAGCGAGGCCCCTCTCCACCCTTCCATGTTCAAGGTTCCCTAACAAACTTGGGAAGCTGCTGTGTGGGCCTGTCTGGAGGAAAACAAACTCTGGTCTCAGATGGAAGATGACGGCGCTTAGTGTGGGGAGATGCCCGATGCGAAGAGCAAGGGCTGTGGCTGGCTCTCATTAGCCTGTCGAGACAGAGCCTCAATAGGAACCATCTGGACCTCTGTGGCTCTGAGATGTCCGAGGAACGCAGGCGGAGAACGATGATGTGCAGCACGTTAGAAAATGACGGGGATGCCTCAGGCAGCCAACAACATGTGGTGAAGTGAGCATCAGTCTTCGATAAGATAATCTACCCCTACGTCTGTCAATGAGGTTTCTTTTTGCAACAGGGCCAGCCGAAGACTTGGATCCTGACCCCTCTCATTTATGGCATTCCCCACCTGTCCTTGTGGCTGTGAGGATCATTCCCGGTGGATTGTGGGTAAGGTTTTCCCTTCCTTCTCAAGTGTTGGGCTTGGCTGCAACGGCAGACAATGTGGTCAAATCAGCAGAGTCACTCTTGGAGAAACCCAAAGTGCGGAGAAACGGAGATTGTCTGGACTGGACAATTGAGGCATCGAGTCGAGCAGCCGGGGAGAATTGATGGCCTGGAACTATGAACCTCAAAGGCGCAATCTGCTGTGTCCTCAAAACCTCTTCCCTTCCTCTGTGGGCATTGCAAGCCAAGGCAGGGTTTCTGCCCTTCCATATGACTTCACCGCACT